CCCAAAATTTTTGGGGGAGAAATTTTGGGGGGTTTTTTTTCTTCCCCCCAAGGGTTTTTTTTTAAAAAAAAAAAAGGGTTTTTGGGGGGTTTTTTTTTTTTTTTTTCCCAAAAACCCGTTTTTTAAAATTTTTGTAAACCCCTTTCCCAAAAATTTTTTTTTGGGGGGTTTTTTTGGGGGTTTTTTTTCCCCCCCCTTTTTTTTTTTTTTTTTAACCCCGTTTTTTTTTTTTCCCTTTTCCCTTTTTTTTTTTTTAAAAAATTTTTTGGGGGGGTTTTTTAAAATTTTTTTTAAAGGGGGATTTTTTCCCTTTTCCCCTTTTCCCCTTTTTGGGGGGGGTTTTTCTCCCCCCTTTGGAGTTTGGGGAAAAATTTCCCTTATTTGGGAATTCAGTTTAAAATTTTTAAAAAACCCCCCCCCCCCCCGTTTTGGGGGGGCCCCCCCCCGTTTTTCCCAAAAATTTTTTTTGGAAAATTTTTTTCCCCCCCCCCGGGGGGTTTTTTTCCCCCCCCTTTTTTTGGGGGTTTACTGTACCCCCCCTTTTGGGGGGAATTTTTCGGGGCCCCCCCTTTTTTATTTTTAATTAAAAACCTTCCCCCCTTTTTGGGGGGTTTTTTAAAAAAACGCTCATTTTGGGGGGTTTTTTTGGGCCCCGGGGGTTTTTTTAAAAACCCCCTCCCGTAGTGGGTTTAAATGTACATTTTTGGGGGGGGGGGCCCCCTTTCCCCCCCTTTTTTTTTGGGCCCCCAAAGGGTTTTTTTTTTTAAAAGGGTTTTTTTTCCCCCCCCCCCTTTTTGGGGGGCCCCCCCCCTTTTTTTTTCCCCCCCCCCTTTTTTTTTGGGGGGAATTTACGTCAACCTTTCCTTTGGGGGGGGTTTTTTCCCGCCTTTCCCCGGGGGGGTTTTGGTTTAATTTCCCCCCTTTGGAGTTTTAAAAAACCCCCCTTAAATTTTTTTTTACGAAACCGGGGGCCCCCAAAAACCTTTCCCCCTTTTTTTTTTAAAATTTTATTTTTGGGGGGTTTTTGTTCCCCCCCCGGGGGGGGGGGGCCCCCCCTTTTTTGGGGGTCCGTTTTTAAAGGGAAAGGGGGGAGGTTTTTTTTTAAAAAACCCCCCAATTTTTTTTTTTTGGGGGTTTTTTAAAACCCCCCCTTAAATTTTTTAAAAATTTTTTTGGGGGGTTTTTTTTAAAACAGCTCATCCTGTTTAGTGGGAGTTTTTCTGTAAATCCCCCCCCCTTGGGGGTTTTTTTTTTTTTTGGGGGTTTTTTAAAAAAAACCCCCCCGGGGGGGTTTTTAAAAAAGGGTTTTTTTTTTTGGGGGGGGGTTTTTTTTTTTGGGGGGGTTTTAAAGCCCCCCGGGGGTTTTTTTTCCCCCCCTGTGAAATGGGTTTTTTCCCCCCCCAAATTTTGGGGGTTTTTTTTAAAACCCCCCCTTTTTGGAATTTTTTTTTTTCCCCCCCCCCCGGGAGTTTACTGGGGCCGTCAACCCAAAAAACCCCCCCCCCGGGGGGGTTTTTTTAAAAATCACTGCCCCCGGGGGGGTTTTTTTTTCCCCCCCGGGGGGGGGGGCCCCCCCCAAAATGGCAGTTTTTAAAACCCCCCCCGGGGGGGGGTTTTTACAGTCAACCCCCCCAAGGGGGTTTTTTAAAACCGGTCCCGGGGGGGTTTTTTTTTTCCCCCCCCCCCTTTTTTAAGGGCCCCCCTTTTTTCTTTTTGGGCCCCCTTTTTTTTTAAAAAATTTTAAAGGGGCCGGGGGTTTTTTTTTTGGAAACCTTTTTTTTTTTCCCGTTTTTTTTCCCCCCCCCATTTTTTCCCCCCCGGGGGGGGGGAAAAACCCCCCCCCGGGGGGGTTTTTTTAAAGGTTCCCCGGGGGGTTAATTTGGGGTTTTTTTTTTTGGGTTTTTGTAAAAACCCCTTTTTGGGGGGTTTTTCTGAAAAAACCCCCCGGGGGTTTTTTAAAATCACTGCTCAACCTGTGATGGGGGAGTTTACTTTTTCCCCCCCCCCCCGGGGGTTTTTTAACCCCCCCGGGGGGTGGGTTTTTAAAAACCCCCTCCTTTGGGGGGTTTTTAAAAAAACCCTTTTTTGGGGGGGGGTTTTTAAAACCCCCCCGGGGGGGGGTTTTTTTGGGTTTTTGGGGGTTTTTTTTCAAAGGGGGGGGGGTTTTTTTGGGGCCTTTTTAAAAATTTTTTTTTTCCCCCCCCTTTTGGGGGCCTTCCCCCCCCTTTTTTTTTTAAATTTGGGCCCCCCTTTTTGGGGGTTTTTTTTCCCGGCCCCCTTTTTTTTTTTCCAGGAATGGGCCCCCCCCGTTTGGGGAAAAAGGGCCCTTTTTGGGGAAAAGGGCCCCCCCGGGGGGGGGGTTTTTTTTTACCCCCCTTTTTTATTGGGTTTTTTCCCCCCCAAAAAACCCCCCCCCCCCTTTTTTTTCCCCCCCCCTTTCCCTTTTTTTTTTTCAACCCCCTTTTTTTTTTTTTTTGGGGGGGAAAAAACAACCCCAAAATCCCTTTTTTAAAATCCGTTTTTAAAAATTTTCCCCGTTTTTTCCCCCCCTTTTTTTTTTTAAAAACCCCCCTTTTTTTTCCCTTAAAGGGGGGTTTCTTAATTTGGGGGTTTTTTTTTACCCAAATTTTTTCCCCCCTTTTTTTTCCCCCCCCCTTTTTTTTTAAAATTTTACCCCCATTTTGTTTTTTTGGGGGGGGGGGGGGGTTTTTTTGGGGGGCCTTTTGGGGGTTTTTTCCCCCTTTTTCCCCGGGAGGTTCCCGTTTTTTTTTGGGGGGCCTTTGGAAAATTTTTTTAAGTCCCTTTCCCAAATTTTTTTTGTAAATTTTCCCCCCCTTTTTTTGGGAGTTTTTTCCCTGGGGCCCCCTTTCCCCCTTTTTTTATTTTTTTGGGGGAAAAATTTTTTTTCCGGGGGCCCCTTTTCCAAAAACCCCTTTTTTTTAAAAAATTTTTTGGGGGGGGGTTTTTGGGGGGGGAAAAAAATTTAGGGCCCCTTTTGGGGGGGCCCCCAAATTTAAAGGGGAAGGGGGGGTTTTTTTCCCAAAAGGGTTCCCCCCCTTTTTTTTTTTAAATTTTTTTTTTTTCCCCCCCTTTTTTTACGGCCCCAACCCTTTTTTGGGTTTCCCCAAAAATTTTTTTTTTTTCTTCCCCCATTTTTTTTCCCCCCCCTTTTCCCCTTTAAAAATTTTTTTTTGGGGGGCCCTTTAAAAATTTTTTTTTTTGGGGGGGTTTTGGGGGGCCCCCCGGGGCCTTTTGGGGTTTTTTTCCGTATTCCCCTTTTTTTTTTAAAAATTTTTCCCTTTTTTTCCCCCTTTTTTGGGGAAAAAAACCCCCCTTTTGGGGGGTTTTTTTTTCCCCCCCGGGGGGGAAAAACCCCCCTTTTTTGGGGGGGGTTTTTTTAAAAACTCCCCTTTTTTTGGGGGGTTTTTAAAAACCCCTTTTTTGGGGGGTTTTTTAAAATCACCCTCATCCCGGGGGAATTTACCTTCCCGGCCCCCCCCGGGGGGGAATTTAAAAACCCCCCCGGGGGGTTTTTTTTCCCCCCCCCGGGGGGGATTTACTGTAAAAGCCCCCCCGGGGGTTTTTTTAAAAAAAATTTTTTTGGGGGGGTTTTTCCCCCCTTCCCCCTTTTTTTTTTTAAAAAACCCCCCCCTTTTTTTTCCCCCCCCCCCCAAATTTTTTGGTAAATTTTTTTTCCCCCCCTTTTTTTTTTTTGGGGGGCCCCCCCTTTTTTAAAATTACGGCCCCTTTTTCCCGGGGAAATTTTTTTTTTTTTTTTATTTTTGGGGGGGGGTTTTTTTTTTTTTTTTCCCCCCCCCCCCTTTTTAGGGGTTTAACCCCCCCCCTTTTTTTTTTTTTTTTTTCCCTTTTTACTTTAAAATTTTTTTGGGGGTTTTTAAAAAAATTTTTTTTTTTTTTTTTTTTTCGAGTAGCAGTTTACTGTACAGTCACTGCTCATCCTGTGAGTGGCAGTTTACTGTACAGTCACTGCTCATCCTGTGAGTGGCAGTTTACTGTACAGTCACAGCTCATCCTGTGAGTGGCAGTTTACTGTACAGTCACTGCTCATCCTGTGAGTGGCAGTTTACTGTACAGTCACTGCTCATCCTGTGAGTGGCAGTTTACTGTACAGTCACTGCTCATCCTGTGAGTGGCAGTTTACTATACAGTCACAGCTCATCCTGTGAGTGGCAGTTTACTGTACAGTCACTGCTCATCCTGTGAGTGGCAGTTTACTGTACAGTCACTGCTCATCCTGTGAGTGGCAGTTTACTGTACAGTCACTGCTCATCCTGTGAGTGGCAGTTTACTGTACAGTCACTGCTCATCCTGTGAGTGGCAGTTTACTGTACAGTCACTGCTCATCCTGTGAGTGGCAGTTTACTGTACAGTCACTGCTCATCCTGTGAGTGGCAGTTTACTGTACAGTCACAGCTCATCCTGTGAGTGGCAGTTTACTGTACAGTCACTGCTCATCCTGTGAGTGGCAGTTTACTATACAGTCACAGCTCATCCTGTGAGTGGCAGTTTACTATACAGTCACAGCTCATCCTGTGAGTGGCAGTTTACTATACAGTCACAGCTCATCCTGTGAGTGGCAGTTTATTTTACACCTTGAATTCCTCTGATGAAGCACCGTTGATGTGCATCTGGATATCTTTCTTGAGAGGACAAAACTGAAAACAAATGTGATGAGACGCTTATTATAACTTATAATGTTAAGATGATCCCAGACCGTTCTGTGAGGGCAAAGCAACCCTTAATAATAATAATAATAATAATAATAATAATAATAATAATAATAATAATAATAATAATAATAATAATAATAATAATAATAATAATAATAATAAATAATAATAATAATAATAATAATAATATATTATTATTATTATTATTATTATTATTATTATTATTATTATTATTATTATTATTTTATTATTATTATTATTATATTATTATTATTATTATTATTATTTATTTCTTTTTCTTGTAGGACAGAGATCTTGGGGATCCTGAAGAAGAACCTGCATCACCTTCTGTGTTGCCTGCGTGTGGAAGTGCACGACCCAGCTGACCATGACGACGACCAGTCAGGTGAGGGAGAGGAGAGTAGGTGAGTGTTGGAGAGGTAGCCGGGAAATGGGTCATGGTCAAGCCTATCTATGTCTCTGTACTGGTCAAGCCTATTTGTGATTGTACTGGCTAAACCTGTTTATACCTTTGTGTTGGTAAAGCCTATCTATGTCTCTGCAGTGGTTAAGCCTATGTATGTCTGTACGGATCATGCCTCCGTACTTGTCAAGCCTCTCTATACCTCTGTACTGGTCAAGCCTATTTATGCCTGTCATGGTCAAGCCTATCTATGTCTGTCCTGGTCAAGCCTATGTATCTGTCCTGGTGAAGCCTATTTTTGACTCTGCCCTGGTCAAGCCTATGTCTCTTTCCAGGTCAAGCCTATTTATATCTCTAGCCTGGTCAAGCCTATCTGTGTTTCTGTCCTGGTTAAGCATATCTATGTCTGTCCTGGTCAAGCTTGTCTATTTATGTCCTGGTCAAGCCTATCTATGTGTGAAATGGTCAAGCCTGTCTATGTCTGTCCTGGTCAAGCCTTTCTATGTTTGTCATGTTTAAGCTTGTATATGTGTGTCCTGGCCAAGTATATCTATGCCTGTCCTGGCCAAGCCTGTCTATGTCTGTCCTGGTTAAGCATATCTATGTATGTCCTGGTCAAGCCTCTCTATGTCTGTCTTGGTCAAACCTATCTATGTCTGTCCTGGTCAAGCATGTCAATGTCTGTCCTGGTCAAGCATGTCTGTGTTTTTCCTGGTCAAGCCTTTCTATGTCTGTCCTCTTCAAGCCTCTCTATGTCTGTCCTGGTCAAGTATATCTATGCCTGTCCTGATCAAGCCTCTCTATGTCTGTCCTGGTTAAGCATATCTATGTCTGTCCTGGTCAAGCCTCTCAATGTCTGTCCTGGTCAAGCCTGTCTCTGTCTGTCCTGTTCAAGCCTCTCAATATCTGCCCTCGTCAAGCCTGTCTCTGTTCGTCCTGGTCAATCCTGTCTCTGTCTGTCCTGATCAAGCCTGTCTATGTTTGCCCTGGTCAAGCCTGCCAATGTCTGTCCTGGTCAAGCCTGCCAATATCTGTCCTGGTCAAGCCTGTCTATGGCAGTCATGGTCAAGCCTGTCTATGTCAGTCCTGGTCAAGCCTGTCTATGTCTGTCCTGGTCAACCTTGTCTATGTCTGTCCTGGTCAAGCCTGTATATGTCTCTCCTTGTCAAGCCTGTCTATGTCTGTCCTTGTCAAGCCTGCCTGCGTCTGTCCTGGTCAAGCCTGCCTGCGTCTGTTCTGGTCAAGCCTGTCTATGTCTGTCCTGGTCAAGCCTATCGATGTCTGTCCTGGTCATGCCTGTCTATGTCTGTCCTGGTCAAGCCTGTGTATGTCTGTCATGGTCATGCCTGTCTATGTCTGTCCTGGTCATGCCTGTCTATGTCTATCATGGTCAAGCCTGTCTATGTCTGTCCTGGTCATGCCTGTCTATGTCTGTCCTGGTCAAGCCTGTCTATGTCTGTCCTGGTCATGCCTGTCTATGTCTGTCCTGGTCAAGCCTGTCTATGTCTGTCATGGTCAAGCCTGCATATGTCTGTCCTGGTCAAGCCTGCTTATGTCTGTTCTGGTAAAGACTGCCTATGCCTGCCCGGTCAAGCCTGCCTATGTCTGTCCTAGTCAAGCCTGTCTATGTTTGTCCTGGTCAAGCCTGTCTATGTCTGTCATGGTCATGCCTGTCTATGTCTGTCCTGGTCATGCCTGTCTATGTCTGTCCTGGTCAAGCCTGTCTATGTCTGTCATTGTCATGCCTGTCTATGTCTGTCCTGGTCATGCCTGTCTATGTCTGTCCTGGTCAAGCCTCTCAATGTCTGTCCTGGTCAAGCCTGCCTATGTTTGTCCTGGTCAAGCCTGTCTATTTCTGTCCTGGTCAAGCTTGTCTCTGTCTATCCTGGTCAAGCCTATCTGTCTGTCCTCGTCAAGCCTGTCTATGTCTGTCCTGGTCAAGCCTACCAATGTCTGTCCTGGTCAAGCCTGCCAATATCTGTCCTGGTCAAGCCTGTCTATGTCACTCATGGTCAAGCCTGTCTATGTCAGTCCTGGTCAAGCCTGTCTATGTCTGTCCTGGTCAACCTTGTCTATGTCTGTCCTGGTCAACCCTGCATATGTCTGTCCTTGTCAAGCCTGTCTATGTCTGTCTTGGTCAATCCTGCCTGCGTCTGTCCTGGTCAAGCCTGTCTATGTCTGTCCTGGTCAAGCCTGCATATGTCTGTCCTTGTCAAGCCTGTCTATGTCTGTCCTGGTCAAGCCTGCCTGTGTCTGTCCTGGTCAAGCCTGTCTATGTCTGTCCTGGTCAAGCCTGCATATGTCTGTCCTGGTTAAGCCTGCCTATGTCTGTCCTGGTCAAGCCTGTCTATGTCTGTCCTGGTCATGCCTGTCTATGTCTGTCCTGGTCAAGCCTGCCTGCGTCTGTCCTGGTCAAGCCTGTCTATGTCTGTCCTGGTCAAGCCTGTCTATGTCTGTCCTGGTCATGCCTGTCTATGTCTGTCCTGGTCAAGCCTGTCTACGTCTGTCATGGTCATGCCTGTCTATGTCTGTCCTCGTCATGCCTGTCTATGTCTGTCATGGTCAAGCCTGTCTATGTCTGTCCTGGTCATGCCTGTCTATGTCTGTCCTGGTCAAGCCTGTCTATGTCTGTCATGGTCAAGCCTGCATATGTCTGTCCTGGTCAAGCCTGCTTATGTCTGTTCTGGTAAAGACTGCCTATGCCTGTCCGGTCAAGCCTGCCTATGTCTGTCCTAGTCAAGCCTGTCTATGTTTGTCCTGGTCAAGCCTGTCTATGTCTGTCCTGGTCAAGCCTGTCTATGTCTGTCATTGTCATGCCTGTCTATGTCTGTCCTGGTCAAGCCTGTCTATGTCTGTCATGGTCAAGCCTGCATATGTCTGTCCTGGTCAAGCCTGCTTATGTCTGTTCTGGTAAAGACTGTCTATGTCTGTTCGGTCAAGCCTGCCTATGTCTGTCCTAGTCAAGCCTCTCTATGTTTGTCCTGGTCAAGCCTGCCCATGTCTATCCTAGTCAAGCCTGTCTATGTCTGTCCTGAGCAAGCCTGCCCATATCTGTCCTGGTCAAGCCTGCCTATATCTGTCCTGGTCAAGCCTGTCTATGTCTGTCCTGGTCAAGCCTCTCTATGTCTGTCCTGGTCAGGCCTGTCTATGTCTGTCATGGCCAGGCCTCCCTATGTCTGTCCTGATCAAGCCTGCCTATGTCTGTCTTTGTCAAGCCTATGTCTGTCCTGGTCAAGCCTGTCTATTTCTGTCTTGGTCAAGCCTGTCTATGTCTGCCCTGGTCAAGGCCGTATGTGTCTGTCCTGGTCAAGCCTGTCTATGTCTGTCATGTTCAAGCCTGTCTATGTCTGTCCTGGTCAAGCCTACCTATGTCTGTCCTGGTCAAGCCTGCCTATGTCTGTCTTGGTCAAACCTGGCTTTGTCTGTCCTGGTCAAGCCTGCCTATGTCTGTCCTGGTCAAGCCTGCCTATGTCTGTCCTGGTAAAGCCTGTCTATGTCTGTCCTGGTCAAGCCTGCCTATGTCTGTCCTGGTCAAGCCTGTCTATGTCTGTCCTGGTCAAGCCTGCCTATGTCTGACCTGGTCAAGCCTGTCTATGAGTGTCCTGGTCAAGCCTGCCTATGTCTGTCCTGGTTAAACCTGCCTATGTCTGTCCTGGTCAATCCTGCCTTTGCCTGTCCTGGTCAAGCATGTCTATGGCTGTCCTGGTCAATCCTGTCTATGTCTGACCTGGTCAAGCCTTCCTATGTATTCTGATCAAGCCTCTATATGTCTGTCCTGGTCAAGCCTGTCTATGTCTGTCCTGGTCAAGCCTGCCTATATCTGGCCTGGTCAAGCCTGCCTGTGTCTGTCCTAGTCAAGCCTGTCTATGTCTGTCCTGGTCAAGCCTCTCTATGTCTGTCCTGGTCAGGCCTATGTCTGTCCTGGTCAAGCCTCTCTATGTCTGTCCTGGTCAAGCCTGTCTATATCTGCTCTGGTCAAGCCTGTCTCTGTCTGTTCTGATCAAGCCTGCCTATGTCTGTTTTCGTCAAGCCTGTCTATGTCCTGGTCAAGCCTGCCCATGTCTGTCCTGGTCAAGCCTGTCTATGTCTGTCCTGGTCAAGCCTGCCCATGTCTGTCCTGGTCAAGCCTGCCTATGTTTGTCCTGGTCAAGCCTGTCTATTTCTGTCCTGGTCAAGCTTGTCTCTGTCTATCCTGGTCAAGCCTCTCTGTCTGTCCTCGTCAAGCCTGTCTATGTCTGTCCTGGTCAAGCCTGCCTATGTCTGTCCTCGTCAAGCCTGCCTACTTATGTCCTGGTCAAGCCTGTCTATGTCTGTCCTGGTCAAGCCTGCCTATGTCTGTCCTCGTCAAGCCTGCCTACTTATGTCCTGGTCAAGCCTGTCTATGTCTGTCCTGGTCAAGCACTGACACTCTCCCTGCAGTCTCTTCACTCGCCTTGTGATGCATGAGGGAATTTTTTGCTTTTCTTAAAGTTGTAAGATGAGCACCAGTTTGGATTGAGCGGAAAGAAATTCATACCAACGATATCACTCTTTTAATGGACGGAATGTTGAATATTACCTTCTGTAACATGGTAATTTATAACTAGAATAGTCTATGATTAACAGCGTATCAGACAATTGAATTCTCTGTTTACAACCTCTTCTGTGACAATGTTGAGCTTGATTTACAAGTTATTTTATTTCAAGTTAGTAGTTTGGAAGAGGTTGTATATCAGCGAAAGTTTGTCATTTGCAACGCTTTCTATAATGTATCACACCTAGTGGTCCAAGCCAGTCAGGTCCAACTCACACCCAGCCACACCCACTCATATATTTGTTTAACTAATTTTTAAAATTACTCGATGTTTTAGCTTTAATGACGCTACTCGAGAGTTTGTTCCATTCATCTACAACTTAATTACCAAACCAATGTTTTCCTATATCCTTTCTAAATCTAAATTTTTTTAAATTGAAACTATTGCTGACAGTCCTGACTTGGTTAGCTGCTTTTAGCACGTTATATACAGCCCCTATATTTATTCCTGTTATCCATTTACTCACCGCAATCATTTCTTCCCTAATTCTTCTCCCTTTTGGAAAGTACAGATTCAGGGTTCTCAGTCTGTCCTCGTAGAAAAGATTTCTGATACATGGGATCAACTTTGTCATCTTTCTATGTACGTTTTCCAGTGTATTTTTATGCGTTCTGTAATACGGTGACCATAACTGTGCTGCATAATCTAAATGAGGCCTAACCAATGATATATAGAGTTGAAGAACAACCTGAGGACTCCTGTTATTTATACCTCTTGATATGAAGGCAAGAATTCTGTTAGCTTTATTGCGAACACTTACCCGCTGTTTTCTTGGTTTTAGATTACTGCTAACCAGAACTCCTAAGTCTTTTTTCGCAATCTGATATTAAGATCTACATTATTTTACAAGTGACATGGTTATTTTCCTTTCCAACGCATGGAACTTTGCATTTGTCTATATTAAACTGCATCTGCCACTTCTCTGTCCACTACATCAGTCTGTTCGGATCTTCCAGCAGCGCCTTAGTGTCCTCGTCAGAATTAATTCGACGGCCTATTTTGTTGTCGTCTGCAAACTCGATTATGTTGTTATTTATTCCCTCATCTATGTTGAACAACAAAAGACCCAACACTGACCCCTGTGGAACACCGCTTGTGACGCATCCCCACAGATTTCTCCCCATTTATGCACACTCTCTGTTGCCTATCAGTCATGCCTCTATACAGGTAAAAATTTCTCCTTTTCCATGAACCTCTACTTTCCTCTATAACCTCCGATGGGGAATTGAAGTCCATATACACAATATCAATATCATTACCATGATCTACCTCCTCAAATACCTTAGTGAAATCAAAGTTAATAAATTCGTAAGACAAGAACGCCCCTTTGTAAAACAGTGCTGAGGTTAATTAGTCAATTTGTATCTTTCAAGGTGGTTTCGAATAGCTTTTGCAGTTATTGATTCCATCAGTTTTCCCACATTGGAGGTTAGGCTTATCAGGCTATAGTTGAGAAGTATCACATCTGCCAGCTTCCACTTACCTGGCACTATGCCAGTTTGTAGAGATATGTTGAAAAGACTAGCCGAAGGTCTGCTAAGTGCCTTCTTACATTCCTTTAAAACTCTTGCGAACAGTTCATCAGGGCCTGGGGATTTGTTGCGTTTTAATTTCTCTATTTGTCTGAGAACCATGTTACTAGTGACTCTGTGCATAATTTATTTTCGTCCTGTTCTACTTAATTTATTCTGGAATTTTGCTAGTATCTTCCTGTGTAAAAACTGAGAGGAAATAAATGTTAAAGTTTCTACGTATTTCTTTACCACTGTCAGTCAGTTGACCTGAATAGCTTTTGAGTGGCGTATTTTGTCCCTAATCTTACTTTCATATACCTGAAAGAAACTTTTTGAGGGTAATCTTCGAATCCCCTGTTACTTTAACCTTATAATCTCTTTTTGCTTTTCTTATTCCCTTTTTTATTTCTCATTTTAATTGAATTCATTTATTTATTAACTTTCCATCTCCTTTTTTGATTCGCCTGTAAATGCCTCTCTTTTGACCTATGAGATGCTCTAATCTATTGTTTATCCTTTTAGTGTCATTTTCGTTTTAATTAATTTCCCTATTTGGAACATAAGTAGTCTGAGCAGCTAGAACTATGCTTTGAAAAACTGTAATATCGGCAACAATCACAACCTACCTGACTCTTAGTCAGGGCATTCTAGGTAATTTCTCAGTCCTATGAAATCGGCCAAGCGGAAGTCAGGGATATTAACTTGATCGTAGTTATTAGGATAATTCCATGATATATTTAAACTGAGTGATTTGTGATCACTTTCCCCAAGCTCATCATTAACCTCAAGATTATTAATTAGTGATTCCCTGTTGGCAAGAACCAAGTCAAGAAGGCTATTTCCTCTAGTTGGTTCTGTCACACATGTTTAAAAAGCAGTCTTGAATAGTATCAAGAAAGTCGCCGGACTCAAGATTTCCTGTCAGATTCTTCACTTAATTTGTCTAAAATTAAAATCTTCCATTAACACGACATTTTCATATCTAGATGCCTTATGAATTGCATCCCATAGAAAATTACTGCATTGCATATCAAGGTTTGGGAGCTGTAAATCACACCCAAGATTAGTTTTTCACGATCCTTAAGAAACTGTTGCTAAGCAGATTCTGTGCCCGACACTTCTAATTTGATATCTTGTCTGATGCAACAATTTAAATTATCTATGACACACATCGCCACTCCACCACCCTTACTGTTTATTCTATCAGTGTAGAATAATTTATAGCCTTGTATGTGGCATTCAGAAGGCGTTTCTCTATCTGTCAGGTTGAATCAGGTCTCTGTTATAGCAATAATATCTATGCTTCCTGCACATGCAATTAATCTTGGCTCATACATCTTATTACTGATATTATTAGAATAGTAAACCTTAATGGAGCTAGTCATTTGCTGCCCTCTACTGTCCTTCTCTTTGTTTGTTGACCAGTTCCATTGCCTTTATTAGCAACTTTATGATAAATAATGTCATTTAACATATCCCTGAGGTAATCTGGTAATATCTGCTATTTTCATCCCTCGTGTTGCAACCTGTTTATTTCCCACATACGCTCATACCTCTATCACCTATCTGTTAAAAGTCCTAGACAAGTCAGCAACGGTCCCTCGATCGAGTTGGCTAACGCTACCACTTCTGCCCCAGAGAGACGTATCACTTACCTTGCATACACATCACGTTTTCCATAGAAATTGCCCTAGTTGTCTTATGTGTTCGGACATCTAAACCTCAAAACTTGACACTTAAATCTATCTCTGTATCTGTCTCCTTGCAGCGTCGTCAGTGGAGGGGAAGTTGACTATGACCCGTCTCAACAGGGAGTCGCCTGCCCCACAGGAGACACACTCTCACACCACCAGCATAAAACCGGACCTCACTATGTCTTCCATGGCCAGCATCAAGCCAGACCTTACCCCAATCTGCCTCAAACCAGACCTAACCACCACCAGTATCATGCTGGACATTATCACCACCACCACCCCTGATACTACTTCCAGCCTCAAGCAAGAAAACCTCGCCACCACCACCACCACCACTACCACCGCGTCTACAACCAGCATTAAACAAGAGGTTGGACAGAATCCAGTCAGTAAGGCTTCTCCAGAAGAGGGTACCTCTGGTTTCTCGACAGCTCTACAGTTAAACACCAATTCTAACAACTTACACAAAAATATTCCAGAAGAGCTTTAGTGTATTTCAGTATCCTCGGCAGTAGAAAAACTTCGGAGTATTTCAGCGTTTTCTGTAGCAGAAGAGCTTCACTGTATCTCACCGTCCCCTGGAGCAAAAGAGCTTCAGTGTATCTCACCGTCCCCAGGAGCAGAAGCTCTTCAGTATATCTCACCGTCTTGACTAGAAAAGCTTCAGTGTATCTCACCGTCTTCCAGGACAGCACTAGCATGTCCTTGCTCCCAGGAGCAGCACACAGTAACAGAGGGCCAGTCGAAGGAAAATCTGGAAGTAATAATAGAGGCAAAAAATCTTTCTGGACCAGACATGAATGAACTACAAACTGCCTTCACGACTGACTCCTCTGTCAACAACTAGTCGCAAACTTTGCTAGCTCAGACAGGCCATGAAGCAGAACTTCCAGACATAGAAGTCATACACTTCTCTACATGTCCCTATTTCACTCATGTCGATAGCCAAAGATTTGGCGAGTTAACCAGTTGGGCTATCAGTACTTAAATTGCAATAGCCGAGTTATTAGTATATCAGTATTAGTAATAGCATTGTATTAAAGTGCTAAACTTGGAAGTCATTCAGAGTTACATAGGAATTTGTTGACTAACATTGTGTACAACGAAACGGAATTGTTATGAGGACGCTTTTAATTAGTACAGTAATTCATTTTCATTTCAAAAAAAGGTAAACAAAAATGTTCATTCAAGATGAGAGTTTCACTTAGCAAAACGGAGTAAACATGTCAAGGTGTTGAGGAAAAGTCGAAAATGACTGGGACTTTCTCTGTGATGAACTGGACAATTGGTGTGACCGAGACAGGGATACCAGAGTACGTACTGTCTCCCACACCTGACACCGAGGAAGGGAAGGTGACAGAAGCCTAATTGCAACTTGATTAAAAACTAGCTCTTACCAACAACAATGGAACATTGTAAGATTTGGAACCCGCAATAAGTTCACAGGTGTGTGAAAGTTAATTGCCCTGAATACGAGAATAACCAGAGACCCAACCAAATATTACTTTTCTTTAGCTGATAATGCAAAACAGCAAGCCAGCATTGAAATTCACTTTGAAAGTCTGAGATTACAAGAAATGATGCGCTGAGCATGTTAGCAATGCAAATGACAACAGAATTATTCTGGTATGAAAAATACTAACCTAATGTTACATATGTCAATACATCACGTGATGTGGGGAAAAATTAGTAGCGCAGCCCACACCATCAGAGAACTTGAAGCCAGCAACGTATGGAGCACTAGTGTATGTGTGGGATTAAGAATGATCATTGTCTTGTGAGCACAAAGTCCCAAGTAAACAAGATTTTGAGAACAGTGGGGGGAAAACAACAGACTTAGGCCACAGGGACTTCCAAAGAAGGGAGAAAAAAGACACGAGGAAAAGCAAAACGAGAATGAATAAGAGTCTTTATCATAAAATGGCGTAGACTGAATTGATAATTACACGAAGGAGTCATGTAAGGTCTGGAGAATGGGACGTAATTAATTCTCATCCGACGAAGGGAAGGTTCATTCCAATTCATCGGATCAAGAGCCTTTCACCAGTATCACAACAAGCCTCTGGAAAGGACCAAAATTATAAAAGAAGGGGGGGGGGGGAACACCTCTATAATTACAACGGCAGTATTGAAGCTCCTATAATGATTCTTCTAATTTACTACAAACCCCTGGAAAATACTATTATTGCCTTTATTTCCAGTACGTTTCGCTCAAAGGAAACGTAGAGGAAATAAAATCTTGTTCTGCTGCGTGTTTGACGTCACGTTTCCTTCCTGAAACTCCTGATGATTGTAAGTAGCTACAACTATTATTGAATAGTTGTAGCAACAATTATCATTAAATGGTTGTACCTACAATTGTCAAATTGTTGTAGTTACAGCTATTATTAAATGTTTATAGCTACTACTATTGTTAAATGATTATAGATGCTTTTGTTAAATAGTTGTAGCTACCACTATTGTTAAATGGTTGCATTACAATTATTATAATCGTAACTAAACACTAAACCCACAAGGGTCATACAACGATTAAATGGTTGTAGCTACCACTATTGTCGAATGGTTGTAGCTACCACTATTGTCGAATGGTTGTAGCTACCACTATTGTCGAATGGTTGTAGCTACCATTATTGTCGAATGGTTGTAGTTACCACTATTGTGGAATGGTTGTAGCTACCACTATTGTGGAATGTTTGTAGCTACCACTGTTGTGGAATGGTTGTAGCTACCACTATTGTGGAATGGTTGTAGCTACCTCTATTGTGGAATGGTTGTAGCTACCACTATTATGGAATGGTTGTAGCTACCACTATTATGGAATGGTTGTAGCTACCACTATTATGGAATGGTTGTAGCTACCACTATTGTGGAATGGTTGTAGCTACCACTATTGTGGAATGGTTGTAGCTACCACTATTGTGGAATGGTTGTAGCTACCACTATTGTGGAATGGTTGTAGCTACCACTATTATGGAATGGTTGTAGCTACCACTATTATGGAATGGTTGTAGCTACCACTATTGTGGAATGGTTGTAGCTACCACTGTTGTGGAATGGTTGTAGCTACCACTATTGTGGAATGGTTGTAGCTACCACTATTGTGGAATGGTTGTAGCTACCACTATTATGGAATGGTTGTAGCTACCACTATTATGGAATGGTTGTAGCTACCACTATTATGGAATGGTTGTAGCTACCACTATTATGGAATGGTTGTAGCTACCACTATTATGGAATGGTTGTAGCTACCACTATTGTGGAATGGTTGTAGCTACCACTGTTGTGGAATGGTTGTAGCTACCACTATTGTGGAATGGTTGTAGCTACCACTATTGTGGAATGGTTGTAGCTACCACTATTATGGAATGGTTGTAGCTACCACTATTATGGAATGGTTGTAGCTACCACTATTATGGAATGGTTGTAGCTACCACTATTCTCAAATATCTGAAATAAATATCAAAACTGTATTTACCTAAGTTTATCCTCTCCCTGAGTAATTTTCTTTATTTTACTGCATGTTTTTGTATTTTCTCAGTTAAATTCCCAAGGCTAACTCCAACAGTCTGATGGATCAAAGTGGCTTGTGTCTACTCAAATATTAAACGTATACAAACAACAGTTTCCAATTGTCCTGTAATTTTACCCTATATGACAGATTAATTAACCTGTTATAAAATTTGAATCATTGCGTTTCGTTTAGTATGTATTAAAACTTAAGTGAATTTATCTATGGATTTAATTAAGACAGATAGAGAGCACCAATATTACTCTGGTCCCTCTTCAGTACACCTTTGTTCCGTACCTTTGGTTTTACAGTGGTTTCGTTTTATAATGAGGCAAGGAGACTAGGCCTGTCAAAAATTTCTCTGCCTGTACTTACCAGGTTAACATCAGAAATTTACCTCCTACTGTTTACGAAGTTAGTTGCCACAGTTAGCGTCAAAAAAATCGTTATCTTAATATTTCCCAGGACAGCAGCCACGGTTATAATGAAAGCTTAGCAATAAAGGCGCAGAAAAAGTGTCTTTATCATAACCAAATGCCGCTTAAGAGATGGGGAAAAGTCGGGAGAATTGAGGCTGACGCTGGTTCACGTGTCTGACCTTTTACTTCTCGCCGCTCTTGGTGTTGTCCAGAACCTTAAGTTTTAACTTTATGGTCTCGTACAATGTGCTCTTCAATAACACCAGTGGTATGTTCTTCAGTAATACCAGTGGTATGTATTCTTCAAAAACACCAGCGGTACGTGTTCTTCGGTAACACCAGTGGTGTGTGTTCTTCAATAACACCAGCGGTGTGTGTTTTCAACACCAGTGGTGTGTGTTCTTCAATAACACCAGCGGTGTGTGTTTTTCAACACCAGTGGTGTGTGTTCTTCAATAACACCAGTGGTGTGTTTTTCAACACCAGGGGTGTGTGTTCTTCAATAACACCAGTGGTGTGTTCAGTAACATTCAGTGGTGTTCTTCAATAACACCAGTGGTGTGTGTTTTTCAAGAACACCAGTGGTGTGTTCGGTAACATTCAGTGGTGTGTGTTTTTCAATAACACCAGTGGTGTGTGTTCTTCAGTAACACCAGTGGTGTGTTCAGTAACATTCAGTTGTGTTCTTCAATAACACCAGTGGTGTGTTCAGTAACATTCAGTGGTGTTCTTCAATAACACCAGTGGTGTGTTCAGTAACATTCAGTGGTGTTCTTCAATAACAACAGTGGTGTTCAGTAACATTCAGTGGTGTTCTTCAATAACACCAGTGGTGTGTTCAGTAACATTCAGTGGTGTTCTTCAATAACACCAGTGGTGTGTTCAGTAACATTCAGTGGTGTTCTTCAGTAACACCAGTGGTGTGTTCAGTAACATTCAGTGGTGTTCTTCAATAACAACAGTGGTCGTTCTTGCCTTTATAACTGGTGCTTGAATACTGCCTTGTTGCATGGAGAAGTTATTTCAGTCATCTGCGGCTGGTACAGACTCAAGACTGAGAAACTGTCACACAACATGGACTCATACAGTGTTTTTCGAATTCGCTATTTTAATTATTTTCTTGGATTAATTACCAGCTTTTCTTGCTACGACTAATAATTTTATTTTTCTAGTGGCATTACGTGATGTTAATTAAAGACCTTTATATTATAATTTAAACTTAATATTGTTCTTAAACAGTGATCAGCTAGGTCGTCCCATGGCTGTTTTCTGTCAAGCCTAATCAAACTATATTGTGATAGTCAGACATTATTAACCGTCATCCCATTAATTTTATTTAACAAAGAAGATAATAGGAGCAAATATATAAATCAGACACTTGTTTAATGCTTGGAAACTTTATTACGATATTACAGAGGAAAAAGCATTGATATATGTAGAAGGTTACATGTATAAGGTGATTGTTTCACATGACAACTGTATCCTAGTGGATCAGGATCAATTTACCTAAAACTTTTAAAATGTTACAACAACCAGTGATAAATACAACTGTAGTGCCCAGACTGATAAGTGTTGATTCAGGGCAGCGGCGTCTGTGTAGATCCTCTTTGTTGATGACTCTGGTTTCTCTCCAGTTGATCAGATGTCTGCAGCTATTCCTATGTATAATACATGCAAGTGTTAGGTGTAGCTATACGGCAGTCATGTGTGTGTTCATTAATACGTGTATCTAAATCTCTGTCCGTTCCTCCCATGAAGATTTTGTTCCACACTCGCATGGTGTCATACATACCCCGGCCTTAGAATCGACAACATTTTTTATTTCAAGATGGTGAGATTCTCATTAGTGGTGATAGTGGTAATAGCCAGTCTTATTCCACCTGAAGTAAATACACTGGAGATACTTCTCTGTTAGGCAGGAATACAAATAAGACTTTGGATTTATCGGCCTTGATGGTGTGAGAATTTGTTATTGCCCGTTGACTGTAATTGTTGATGAAGTGGGAGGACGAGTGTAGTAATGAGAAACTCTGTCGAATGATGTTGCCTCCCGTAGGAATTCTGGTTCTACAGATCCAGATAATTCTAAAGGGGGAAAATCTAGTTATCACTTCTGGTTTTTTCTTGATGTGGACGTAATGGAAAAACATCACATCCTTCTTGTTTGTGCGCTTACAATGGAACGTTAGTTTGTCACTGTATTCCAAATGATAAACCTACTAACTGCAAAATAAATGTGCTGTCTTTATAATAAATGCTAAGCTTAGCATGTACCTATAGGATAACATAAATAAATCTAGATAAACTTATAATTGCTACGAGAGAGTACATTATTACATAAAGAAGCAGGGAGGTGGTAATACCACGAGAGTACACAATGAATGGATGGTTAAGTGCAGTACTCTAGGCTGCAGGGATAAGTACGTAATATTTTAGTGCACTGTGTGTGAAAGTGTACAGTGGTAGGTAATATTTAGATAAGTACTGTGTAAACTATACGGTCAGCACATTTTTGTGAATATATATATATATATATATAATATATATATATAATATATATATATATATATATATATATATATATATATATATATATATATATATATATATATATATATAATATATATATATATATATATATATATATATATATTACGGGTTATGCCCGACATTTTTTATTTGAGTATATTCCAGTTACGAGGTTTCACTTAATATTGTATAGCGGACTTCTTCACTAAGTAGCTAAAGTAAAGATTTCCGACTTTATATTATTATCTGACCTCATGTATCATGATATTACTCTTTAATTTTATGTATAAATGTTAATTCTAATATTTATGTATATATAGAAATAAGGAAAGATGATGGAATCGCTATTTAAAAGACCGGCCACTAATTATGCTGCCGGCTGAAGTAAAAGCTTTTGTCACGTGACCAACCTGACGTGAGAGTTACTGGTTACTGACACAAACAGTAGGTTCATACACTCTCCTCTGAGCAGGTTCAGGCCCTCAGCCCCGTTCTAGAATATTACTTAGTCTCAGACAAAGTTTGGATCCCATTGCGGTGCAGTATCTAGACACCGCTGTAATCAGTAATCCTATTAAGTTGGAATTTGTTTATGATTTAGGGGTTATTCTACCTTTATAGAGGATCTGTTCATGGTCTCTGGTATGGTCCCTGGTATGATCGGTAACGTCATCTACTCGTCTCTGACTCAGTGATAGTGTGTTATTAGCTGAGATTTCAGTCTGTCTATACTCTATACTTTAACATAGACTTCTGGCTTTAAGGATAATTGTGTTTTAAGTTAGACAATGTGTATATATATATATAGTATAATCTCGCCTGGTATCTAATATGAATCGGTCTTTATTGAGACGATAGTTTCATTTGATACATTTGGGATTTCCATGTAAATATATTATTGTATAAGACTCGTGTCATTGAGTACATGCATTGTACAGAAACATTTACAAGTCGTATGTTGACTGTTTTCCGTATTAAATGTATCTTTATGTATTACACTGCAAGAGAGAGAAGAACTTTGAATCATACTAAGTTTTTATATGAATTCTTTTGTGTTAAAGACCACATATTTTATTTAGTCGGATCAGTCTCCTAATTATAATTCCCGAATTAAAATGGCATTTGCCTGAGGACAACTAGACCAGAGCTCAGTTCGACGTCTTGTTACAGAAAGGTCCAAAACAGGCCTATAGACATGGCCCCTGACGTAACTAATATATATATATATATATATATATAATATTATATATATATATATATATATATATATATATATATATATTCATAAAAATGTGGAAACCCAAATGGGTTACACAGTACATATCTCTAGCACATTTCCTGAAACTGTACACTTTTTCATGGTGTACCAAAAATATTACGTACAATAAGTGGTACAATAAAGCAAGTATAGTAGGTGGTATGGAACAATGGTAAGCTAGCACGGGACGGTAAGCTTGCATGGGACATGTCACCAGCAAGCTCCTCTCATTAAACATCAAAATCTTTTTCCAGTTCCGTCTGCAACGCTTGGTGGGACCAGGACTGCAAGTGACTGGAATCTATCTGCAGGATACAACTGAAAGGTGGCGTCGTATACGTGTAGAACTGACAGCTGTTGTCCTATGTAACGTCTAGAGATGATACCTTCATGTAATGTGTAGGGCTAACATTTGGCGTCTTATATTGCACGTGTAAAACTGATAACTGACGTCACAGACAACGTCTAGAGCTGATGTAGCTAAAAAGCGACTTGGAAGCCTAGGTATTACAGTAACTTGTAGACAGCCAAGAATAAAATTAATGTTAAAAATGTAAAATAACCTACACTCCTTTACTAGAAGCGCCATTTTTGAAGTCCTTCAAGAACACGGCTACCGCTATGCTAGCCATATTTGCACTGAATTGTGAAGAGTGGACGAAAACTAGCAACAGCTGAACGAAAATGTAAAGTTAGATCATAAATGATATCGATGATTATATTCCTTTAGCAGTGACAGAATTCCTTCAATATGTTCACAGAAACAATAAGAACGCACCATATACTGTAAACTACTGAACTTGAAGAACCTGCCAATCTCGGCCAGGAAAAAACTAGAGATGATTGGAGTTTACATCCTGTCGTCTTGTTTGTGTAGCAGCATCTTACTTGATGTCTCCGTCTTCGTTATCCCAGGGTAAGATACTGTTCATGTTGCCAACGTTCTCAGTGGCTCTATTCTTCATCTTCTGGCTGGCCACGGAGGTCTTGGGACGCTCCTTCTCCTTGGCCCTCACTTCCTCACGAGTCGAGTCTGACCCGGACTGAAGGCCCACGGTAATGTCGTCCTGAGTCTGAGGCTCACCGCCAGTAGCACCCTCCCCCTCCTCCTCAGTGCTGATGGCTGGTCCAACTTTATTTTTGCTTCTTCGCGGCTTCTTTTCTGCCCACATCTCGATATTGTCTTCACTGCCATCATCAGCCGGGTCTTCAGGTGGCGCTGCCTCCTCGTTCTTCTTTTCCATCATATTCTTTCTCTCACTTTCTTCTAGTTTCTTATCATGATCTCCGGCATGGCTTTCGCTCTTCATCGCTACTTGCCCTGTGCTCACCTTCACCTTCACTGGGTCGTACTTTTCGGTGAAGGTCATAGCGAAGCGGGCTGGAGTCTTGCGAGCTGACCCAATCCGCCTCATCTTAGCAGATGGCAGACGACGAGGTCGCGTGATGAGAACGGGGACATTAGCAGCCTCAGTCTTGGCAGGTGCCTTTGGGTCCTTGGAGGCAGCGGTGCTTGGACCTTTCCCAGTTCCCGGCCCCACCGTTGGCTTTCCCGTGGAGCTGGGAAGGACGGAAGCTGTTGCTGTCTCCGCTTGGATGATGATCCGTGGCTGAGCGAGGCGACGGGACTCCAGCATGTCAGTGTCGGAATCGTCGGATTCACCGCCGCCACTGAGAGCAGCCGTCAGTAACAGCTCTTCGTCGTCTAGGAAAGCCGGGTTATCGTAACCATCCGAGTCGCATCTCTTTTTCTTTTTCTTCTTCTCAGGGATGACTTTAAGATGAGCTGCTCTCGGTGCCTCCAGGGTTTTGGGCGGCGCCTGTCCTGGAACCCTGGGCTTGAGAGGGTCGTCGTCGATACCATCACCGGAGAAGTCGAGGTCGTGCGTGAAGGCCAGTTGGTCGATGGCGCCGGTGAGGGCCCCGAAACCATCCATCTCGTCGTTGGGATCGATACTATCGGAGGCAAACTTAGTCTGGCTGAGTGCATCACCTAAGATGTCTACCGTAGGAGGACCAGTCTCTGTACCCAGGAGACCACCATAACCCTTCTTCTTCGCCGGCCTGAGGAGAGATGGAGTAGATACAAATTACAGGATAAAGAAGGACGTAGTACAGCTGTCTCTCCTCTCATATATATATATATATATAATAATAATATATATATATATATATTATATAATATATATATATATATAATATATATATATATATATATATATATATATATATATTGTGTGTGTGTGTATATATACATATATGCTGTACTTCATACCTCCAGGACTCAAATCCGACTAACCAATTTAATTGAATCAATTCAAAAATGTTAGCCGGTTCACACTACACAACCAGCATGTCAAATTCCTATAACCCTTCGTCGCCACTCGTCCAGCTCTAACACATACACCTGCTGGATGTTCCTTCAGATTCTCTGTCCAACCATTCCTTGGAACGACAACTATCCCCTCCCTTCTTACTATTACGTAGGGTATTGTTAAAAATGTGTAAAAAAAAAAAACGCTCCATATATAATGTAAGTTTATTGGTTTTGTTCTGATATACTCAACCAAACGCGTATTAGTCCTGAAGAACAGCCAGGACAGAACAGGAGAGGTGTGTGGCAGTACTGGAAGAGCGGCGGCTTGAACAAGACGTCGTAAGACGTTATGGTTTGGTGCTTGTGTAAGTAAGGAGGGGGGTGATTATGGGTATGCTTATGCCATAAGTTGCATTAATAATTTTTGTATTTACTCTCGTGATATTTCCTTTAAGGCCCTAGTGTGTGCTGGGGCCTGTGTAGTGAAGAGTACAGATATGTTTTACCTGCAGGCTATGTGGCCGGCAGAAGGGGCGGAAGGTGTCAGATCCCCACTATTTACATGTTTTAACTCTTATCACAGTGCTGGTGAGTTATTGTGTAATATGTAGAGTAGGTTGTATACTGTATAAGTTTGCTATTAACATAGTTATATTTTTGAACATTTAGTTTTTGTGGCCATCTTTAAAATATAATATTGGCCATTTAATTAACGCTTTTTTGTGAAGGAACAAGCTTAGCCCTGGGTTGGTGTGGCATTTTTAACATTGTAAATGCCCTTAGACAGGTTATAACCCCCAGTATTATTTTTACGTAACGTAATAAATGCGTTACACTTGCCCTCAGGCTTTATACATTCTGGTGCTCATCCAATTCCTCTCCATCCTTTCTAAATGCTATTCCTTGAGTAGCCTTCAGAATGGGCTGGAAAAAATATTTCGTTTGCGTTTGTAATGGATCTGCCTAGTAGTGGGCCCGTAGGCCTACGGTAGTATTCTTTCACTGTTATGTTATCTCTTTAATAACCCCTCCTCTGCCCTCTGAAAGCCTCATAATCACACCACAAACTGCCTTCATGCATGATGTCTCCACTGCCTCCAGCCTCCTTCCTGATGCCACGTTTGCAAGCTGTGCTTCAAACGTTGCAGCACCAGACACATTCCTCTTGTTTTTCTCCTATGGATATTTTTTTCCCACCACAGACACCGTGACACTCCTCCTTTTTTTCCTTCACCTATTTTATAGTCCACCTCGTCTATCACTGACCCATCTGACAACACGTCCACTCCCAAATATCTAAAAACATTCACTTCCTCTGTACTTTCTTTTGTCAATCTGCTTATATGTGGTTGCAATCGTAATGAGTTATTTATGCAGACATGAATTAAGTCACACACACACACCTAGGACAAAATGGTAACTAACACAAAAAAAAAAATTGTAACTTGTTTAGCTATAAAAACTTTGGGGTCCAGTTCCTGGACCCATTATGTGACTGTAACCTTTTTACCTACCGTCAACAGGATGGGTACTGAAGGCATAATAAATATATTAAACTAAAACTGTCATCACTATTTAAACGTTTTTGTTACTCTCGTCACCTTACTCTTATCTTAGATTCCTTCTAATCTCCTTCTTTGACTCGCCCTCCCAAACTCGTCCACCAACCTTCGCAACTTCTCTTCAGAATCCCCCAACAGAGCAACTTAGACAACACCCATATCCTTATCAGATTCATTTTCATTTAAGAACATAACTCTCCCCCAACACCCTAACATTTACTTCTTTCGCAGTCCCGTCTAAGATTATTGTATATTTACGGTGCATCAACCAGAGAAATTTAATGAATTTAGAGAAACTTCTGTAATGAAATTACAGGTTCTCAGTGCTTCATCAGTAGCATATACACTTGAATCCAGTATGTACAGTACACTATTAGAAGAGAAACGCAAATTTAATAAACTTTTTTTCTGATACTGCAGGTGTGTGGAAATGCAAGTGTTAGTAGTATACACAGGTGTGTGAATACGTAACCCTTAACAGGTTTGTGTAGTATTACTAGTGTGGGGGTA